CAAGGGAAAACGGAGGAAATAAAATGTATGAATGCATGGCCCTTTAGGGCTTCCGCACTTTTTGTAACTAATGGATTACAGCTACTTTTTTGTATCCTGATTACGTTATTCAGTTACATCTGTTACTCCACAAGCCTGATCATTAGTGGCAGCCCTAAACACACAGCTATAAACCATAGTTTTTGGACTCTCTGGGTCTCGTTTCCTTTAAAGGCCTGCACTATCAAGGCCGTTTTCAAATGGAAAGAGCACTTTACAATGCCCGAATGCTAGGATGTAAACATATAATTAACCAGAAGTAAAATGCCCACCTCCTCCGGTGTCGTCCTGCCCCACAGCGGTCAGACCCAGGTCTCCCTGCCAGCGGTTCTGGGCCAGGCTACCGCCACTGTCTCGCATTATCCACGGACAACCCACAACCTGCGCCAGCTCGTCACCTACAAACAACAAACAGTCTTAAGTGAGGGTGCAATCATACAGCCAGCTAATTTCATTAGCTAGCCAGCTTCAAATTAGTTGAATTTACAACAGCACATTGATATGCGTTAACCATTAGGTTGTTTTAATGGGAACTAAAGCCTTCTGGTCGTACAAGGTAATGAGAATAGAGCCCAATCGTTTAGCAAGCAACAAGTTTGATTACATTATCCTGTCCTTTCACATGCAGAAATATAAGAACTGTGTTAACACTTTTACCATGTGCACAGAGCGGATATTTACCTTAGCTTGCTAGCTAGACTGAGTTGATTTACTGTACCAACGCATAACTTTAGATATGACAATAACTGAGCAATTATGTTAATTATTAATAACAATGAATAATTTAATGCGGCCTGTGTCCTGCGCAGGAGAGACTATTTGAGAAAAGCAATTCTACGATGAGAACAATTCTTTCCGGTGCAGGAAATAGTCCTTACCGAGGCTATCTTGTGCGCGTTGAGCGCTAGCAGCATCACCGTCATAGTTTAGCCAATAATCCTAAATTCAGTTCACTCTAATTGCAATTGCTCTTTTTGTAAGTAACTACGGGTGCCTGAACCTACGGTAGTACCATTAAGGACAATCTGAAATAACCAGAATTGTTTAATAATCCGTTGTCTATCCATGCTAAATTATTAGCTGGTTAGCCATGTTGTCGTTAGCAAGCTAAGCGTTAGATAGACAGATACCATGTTAGCAACAACAAATTAAAATGCCCGGCTTACTCTATTCCTTACATAGCTAGGCTTTGCAATTGTATGCTTACCGTTAACCTGCAGATTAATATGAATGTGTGTCCAGCTTCTTCTGAATGAAAGTTGGGCGTGTTTAATTTTCTGTGGGTATCGAACCAAAACAAATGCTAATTTGTGTTAAACCTCATTCAATGAAGTCAGCAGATGTCACCTCCCTGCGAACTTTGATTTCTTTAAGGTCTTCCGGTTCAGATAAAAACGTGAATACCTAACACAAAATGTGGATTACAGTCAATGATGTACGTGAAATAGTCAGGAAGAATCTATATTAATTTTAGAAGGTCTTTACGAAGGATGTGCTGAGCCGGATCACTGCAGATTTTTCGCTCTCATGTCAACTACAACAAGTCCGTCGCGCAGCAATGTCGTCATACATGTTTTTTTATTTTTTATTTTTTTTAAGGATAGCCTTTCATTTTTGACCCCTAACTTCAGTCAGTTGGAAAACAAACATTAGTAATCATACATTTTATTTTGTATTTACTAGTAGTGGTACTACTACTAACGTTACTTGGATTTGTTTTTTGATTAACTTGAATTTGTCCCTTGCTTTCTATAAAGTTTATGATACAATTAAACATAATTTTTTTTTATTTTTGTCAAGGGCTTCAGATGTTCTGGTTGGCGGGTTTTGTTAGCATTGTTCTAATTTTTAATTAAGCTAACTAGTGATGTTTCTTGTGGGCTATTTAAAAATGGCAGTGATAACATTTAGCCTAACCCTGCATTGTCACACCTTGTAACTATTCAGTGCCTTTTTTTGTTGATAACCCTATTTCACAATTAAAAAATAGGTTAAATAGTTATATTATTATTATAATAATAGTTATTTGTTTTGTCTTTGTATTCATTATTTTCATTTGTCTGAATTGCAACACTGACAACCATGCCACCACTATGCTGTCTTAGTTTCTTAAAGCCATATGGTGGTGAGAACTTGCAGATGTCTTTATTTAACCTGTACTCTTTAGTTATTGTCCATGGCAACTTTAACAAAGGAAACCATTTATTAAATGCCCAACCATGCCCAACCATAGAGGATAGTATTTTAGATCACTGTAAAACTACTATCAGCATAGCATATCATGCTTTTTTGACGTACACTATTTGATTAATAAAGTGCTTCATTTCACAAGTTCTATTTCCTTACGCTTCTAATGTGGCAGTTATCAGTATGGACCAACCCCTCCATGATGACACCAAGGCTATCATTTTTGCCACCCATGTGTATAGTTTGGTCTACAAAACTTAAATGAAATTCATAAAGCAGTTAACAATTCTTTGCTGGAATGTTTCTTAAAAGTTAAAAATATGACTAATATTAGTGCAACTACTAACAATAATTTAACTTAACAACAATCTTGCAAGTTAATGCATTCTATTCATATGCATAATGTACCATCATTTATAATGTTTAATTTACAGCTCACCTTATAAAATGTAACAAGACATAAGCATCACACTGACTGTATATACTAAAGTTGGGTAAGTGTGAGTCCTTTATGTGCTATAGATAAAGAAAAATCTACACACAGTTTAATGAGATAAAAACATATTTATCCACATCTTCTGATGTGATGTTTTGATACAGAATACAGATTGTGCAAAAATGGCTCCTCTTGTTTATCAAGAATAATGATTGTTTCCTGGGCAGATGAAGGAGTGGGAGGTGGTTCAGGAAGAACCCAGCCCCATCCCCCCCATCTTCCTGTGTGACTCCCCATTTGAGTCTGTGGAGTCCTTTTTACTTCCTAGGTACCATAATAACAAGTAACCTCAAGTGGGAGCTGAACATCATTTGCCAAAGACGATGATGGTGTACAATAGGTGAGCTTTCACTTACCACAGGGGGTGACTGTGGCTCAGAGGCAGAGCTGTTAATCGGAAGGTTGTTGGTTTGATCCCTGGCTCCTACCACCACATGAATGTGTGAAAGGGCAAATGTGGCATGTAGTGTAAAAGCGCTTTTAGTGTGCAGTACACAGAAAATCCAAATTATTTCTGCTTCAGTAAAAGAACAAAAGGCTACAGTTATATACATGTCATAATATAGAAGGTTTTAAAGTAATTAACATTCAGTTCTTATGTGCTTATGTGAGTTTGGAGAGTTTAGCAAGTTCAGATGTGGATGGCAGAACCTCGTTATCTGGTCCTGGTAGGAGAAAAAGGTTTGCCTGCCAAATAGGGATTTCCCTGCAGCTACCAGACCACCCTGCAAACACAAATATGCAACTGTGTCAGAGTTAGCTAAACCACCACCTCCGACGTGAACTAACCAGGGGTGGGTAGAGTACAGAATAATTTTACGTTATGTTACGTTTATGTGCACTTGAAACATCTCATTTTGGGAGGTATTTGCTAATTTATTTGTCCAACTTGTAAAACCCATTTCTGCATACTCCGATACAGTAGGTGGCGGTATGTACCTTCAAAGTGAATGATTGCAATCGATTGCGAATAAACGAAAAGAAGAAGTACACGAAGCCTACGAGTCCTTAGGTTTATAGACATATAAAGAGTAGATGCCGCATCGACCGCTACTGCCTATTGGCGCTGACGAGCCGTGAGGCCGCCATCTTGGACCGGTCACCCGCTCCATCAGTGTAATCTGTTTGGCAGACGCAATGAAGTGTCAGCGCATTTAATCAATCGTAACTCTGAATTCTAAACTGATTTTCACGCGTTTATTTTTGCTGCAAACGTCACACATGTAGCTATGATACAGGACACATAGTTAGGCATATTTTAATATTCATAGTGGGATTAACAGTAATAGAATTTTCTGATATATGATATATGTGATGCATGATAGGTATTTTGCAAACACTATAAATATTCAATTCAATTCAGCTCTAGACCGAACAGTACCACCATGAGCAAGCACTTGGCGACGGGGGCAAGGAAAAACTGCCTTTTAACGGGCAGAAACCTCGGACAGACCCTT